TATATATATATATGCTTTTCAGTTGCATTCTACATGAAAAAAAATTGGAATGCCAAATTCTGTGTCTTTTGCATGCATGCTAGTGGACATTTTCTTTAGTGATTTTCTTTAGAGATAGATGCATTGTATTCTTTACAAGTTTTGTGATTGGTGCTCATTAATGTAGACAGCTACTGAACAGTATTTTAACATATTAATCCTAAAAGCCTTGTCCTTGAGCTACACACCCCACTTCTGCCAACCTAGGGTAATATTTCATGTTTTAGATGAACTATGATCCATAAAATGTTATGGCATAATACATTTGGAAATATTTATGTTGACATGAGAAATGCCCCTCCTGTGGTGACTTCACTAAGAAAGGAGGAATACCTTATTTGTACAGGAAAGCTTTGTGCTAAAATCTTTTGTTATTCTTGAGAAACACACATTCTGCCAAGAATTTCTCTCTGAAACAAACAGTTTCTATCCCACTCAGAATTTATAGTGGAAATGTGTACAGAGCATAGTGGTTAAAATATTTTTACATAAACAAATTAAGACTGACTGAGTTTGTTTTGAAAACCAATACCATTATTTCTAAACACTAATCTTTATAAACGTTATTGCATTTCTTTCTTTTAGGATGGCTTTCCAATTAGAATAAAAGCTGTTAATGTCATAAATGAACCTCGCATATTCAAAGGCATTTTTGCTATTCTCAAACCATTTCTAAAGGAAAAAATAGTAAAAAGGGTAAGTACTCAATAAAACTGTATGAAATATATAGTGTCTATGGGGATATTAGGGAGGGCTCTTGGATATATGCATGGCTTATGAGCTTTTAACACCTATTAGCTTGTTCCTATAGGGCAGTGATGGCAACCCTTTTTTGGCTTGCGTGGTAAAAGCGGGGGAAACGCAGGGGGATTGTGCACGGGCATGCCACACCCATAATACAATGTGCACAACCCCCAGCGTGCATGCGTGCATGACCAGTGCTCCCCCCCCCCATTTTTGGTGTGCTTTTTTCACCCTCCCCAGGCTCCAGAGGCTTTATAGGAGCCGGGAGGGCAAAAACACACACACACACACACACACACACACCCAGAGGCTTCAGGGAAGTTCCTGAAATGGAGTGTGAAAAAACGGCCCTATGGGCAAACCGGAAGTTTAGGAACAGACTTCCAGTTTGCTCATAGGGCCAGTTTTAGCCCTCCGGAGCCTTTAGGGGCCTTCCAGAGGCTTCTTGAAGGCTCTGGAGGGCAAAAAGCAAGCCTACTAGCAAGCCGGAAGTGACTTCCGGTTTGCTTGTAGGGTCGATTTTAGTCCTCCCGAGCCTTCAGGGACTTTCAGGAGGCTTCCCTGAAGGCTCTGGAGGACAAAAAACGGCCCTACAGACAAACCAGAAGTGACTTCCAGTTTGCTGAAAGGGTTGTTTTTTGCCCTCCAGACCCTTCAGGGATGCCTCCTGAAGGCGCCTGAAGACTCTGTAAGGCTAAAACCGGTCCACGAGCAAACAGGAAGTACATTCCTGAACTTCTGGTTTGCCTGTAGGCCCATTTTTTTGCACTCCGGAGGCTTGGCCTCAAAAGAAGGTGCCATAGGTTCACCATCATGGCTATAGGGATATTGGATTTAAGAGGCAAGTCTGATCCAGAAAGGTAGTTGCTTTTGGAAAGCTTGCCTCCAGTAGTAGTTGGAAATTCATCGCTGGAAGCTTTCGAAAGAGACTGGACTGCCATCTGTCAAAAATGGTGTAGGGTCTGCTTGCGTGGGGGGTTGGACTAGATGACCTACAAGGTCCCTTCCTAGTCTGTTAATCTGTAAAGTCAAACTATTTTCCAAAGTACCAAAAGGCAAGATGAGATCACACTTGGAATACTGCATTCAGTTTTGGTCGCCACGATGTAAAAAAGATGTGGAGACTCTAGAAAGAGTGCAGAGGAGGCTTTCAAAAAAGAGACTGGACAATCATTTTTTTTTAAATTTACAAACATGTAAAATACACACACACAAAACTTAAGATGTACACCACATTTACACAATACAATATGAACAAGAGCTTCCTGTTCTTTCTAATAGCAATTATCAATCGATACCGCTCACTTTATATTATTTCCCCTTCTATTATATTTCATTTGGATTTCACCATTCTTAACCCTCTTATTTTACTCATAACTATTATTTTTGAGTTTTGTTGTATTCCTTCATTGATTCTTGTTTCTTTTCCCTGGATTTCTTTAGTTAGTTTGTCCATTTCAGCACAATCCATAACCTTTCTTATTATTTCATCTTCGCTTGGAGTTAATTTGTTTTTCCATTTCTGGGCAAAGGCAATCCTTGCCACCGTAATTATATATATTATTAAATACTGGATTTCTTTTTTGTATTTTGCAGACATTATTCCTAATAAAAAAAACTTCAGGTTTCCATTCTATTTTAACCCGTTATTGCCTCCAGCCAATTTTTGATCCTTTTCCAAAAATTTTTAGCCTCCTCACAGGTCCACCACAAATGGTAATACGTTCCGTGTATTGATTCGCATTTCCAACATTTTGGGGAAGTATTTGTTAAGATTTTAGCCAACCTTGTTGATGCCAGGTGCCATCTTTAAAACATTTTGTACTGGTTTTCCTTGTATGCAACTGATAGTGTCATTTTTAAGTTTGTTCCCCAAAATTTTTCCCATTTGTCTAATTCAATATTATAGCCAAAGTTTGTTCTTTCACAATGTCCTCTTCCATTTTAAACTTCAGGAGAAATTTATATATTCTGTGCGATGTGGGAGACTGGACAAACATTTATCTGAAATGGTATAGAGTCTCCTGTTCAAGCAGGGGGGTGGACTAGAAGACCTCCAAGGTCCCCTCCAACTCTATTTTTCTAAGTTCTTTTCTAAAAAGCTGCAGTCTGTGCAAAGTGACTTTAATAAAAATTCAAAATGTTTAATTTGAATTAGTAAAATATATGTTTAAACATCATCTGGGAAAGAAAGCCTCATTTGTTCTATTGAGGTCTTAACTTCAACCTTAACTGCAGCTAATCAAATTAAATCCATCTGCAGCTAAATTTGGATATTCCTTTACTTGGAGCTTGTAAATAAACCCAGTATAATTCTCCACAGCAAAGTCAGAAAAGATCTATTATTTATTCTCTTTTCATACATTTCTGTAAATATCCTAGTCTACTGTGGAGACTAATAACTGTTCCTGTGAAAAGAATTAGGCCCCAAAAGGAGTATATTCCTGTTAGAAACTGAGATAATTTATTTATTATTGCTATTGTATTAGACACAATTTATGTAAGTTGAAGCTTATGTAATCATTGATGAAGTAGAAGTCTTGTTTTTCCCCCCTATATATAACTGCTGTATTGTTATATATTTATTACACAAGTTTGTGCACCATACATTTCTAAAGCCCTCAAGGCAATTTACAAAAACAAAGGAAAGGATTAAAAATACTCCATTAGATAATCCACATACCATTGTATATTAAGCAACAATCCAGGAGGGACAGATATTCTAAAAGGGAGATAATACATGTGAATATTAAGCTGCATCAGTTTTTGGAAATGGTCTTCTATAGAGCTTGCTTTCTCTAGAGAGTAGAACAAATCTGAACTGATTTTCTTTTCATCCACACAGTAGTAATCTTGGCTTATTCGTGGAGTTCAATGGTTCGTCCAAATGAAGCTTATCCAACAGGATATAGCTTAAAACAATTTGAGACAGTTTAAAGAGAAATTATCTTTAAAAGTTAATAAAGATTGTGAGACTTTCAGTTTTGTCCTATGATGCTCAAGAATATCAGTCTAGTCTCAAATGCTGCTGTCAATTAGACTTGTAGTATTGAGGAATACTGTGAACCATTGTCTAAGCTTAAAAGGGAAGTCGTATTATTTTTTTTCTAAAATACTGTATGTTTAATTTGAATTGGAATGGTGTTGAAATGGTTCTTTTCTTCCCAGTTTTTTCTTCATGGGTCAGACTTGCAATCTCTTCATCACAACCTTCCACCGCGAATTCTCCCTGAAGAATATGGTGGCACGGCAGGAAAGCTTGATATCTCTTCCTGGAATGAGCTACTGCTGGCATCAGAGGATGACTTCAAGTATGATGACTCACATCTGCCCTTCTCCAGTGACTGTTCACCACATGATCCCTTAATGAGTGAAGAGATCGATGAGAACCAGCATGATGACTCTTTGCGAAGCTTCAAAACACAGCTCTATTCCTGCTACTAGTCTAGCAGATAAAGCTTCCAAAATGTCACCTTGCTGTTTACAAAGGGAATATTAATTCTCTCATGCTTCTACAACATATGTGTGTGGATGGATATTACTTTACTTTGGAACCAAAGCAAATCTAAGTAGAAGAAAGTTGTAAGAAAGAGAGATTCTGTGGCACACTGGCAAATGGAAATATTTTGAGCAAGCAGGAGGTTATTGTAATTGACCCAAAGCAACTCAGATACCACAAATGAACCCAGCTAAAGAAAAGCTACTTGATAACAAGGTCCTAAGCACAATTACTTGGAAGGAAGTTGCGATAAAATGTATGGGACTTGCTTCCAAATAAACAGGTTTAGGTGCAAAGCACTAGATTCTTTCTCAGGCTGAAGGCAAAAATGACGTGCAAATTAATAAGTGCAGTAATATAATGCTAACTCTGCAGAGGAAGAAAGAAATGTGGTCTATATGATACAAGGATAGTTGACTAGAAGTTTTTATCTGCCATAAACTAAGAGATAGCCAGTTCTTATTCTGTTGCCATCTATAAAGTTCAGCATTATTTACAAAAAATACAGCTTTATATACCACAGGGAGTGTTAAACTTTGAAATTGATTCTTGCAGAAAACAATTAGCTATTGATGTTCTGTTGAAAGCACATGCTCATTTTTTTTCTTTTATAAAGAAAGCATCAAATAATCCATGAGCCAATTTTATTCCCATACTTGAATTTGCATAAGACGGGACCAACTGAGAAGGCACATAATTTTGCATACCACTATAGCACTGTTGGTTGGTACCTATCTCATGAAAAGAGGTTGGGGGAAAACACAGACTGATAGTTGTAAAGGTTTACCTGATAGGAAAAGCGGTGACTTGTTTAGATAGCTTTATTTTTGGAACAGAGAAGTTTTGAAATGTTCTCTGCAAACCAGACATAGGACATTTTACAAGCACAATACTCCATTTGTAAATGGTAGTTTCTCCTCAGTCACTATGTTATTTTGTCAGTGGGACCTCAGTGCTGTTTTGATCTTGGCCTCATTCCCTAAGGCCAGCAGTCTCACCTCTAGGATAAAATATACTGTATAGGAAAGGGCTTAACTTCAGAGCCTCACTTGGATTTAATGATGTAACTTTAGATCTTCTCTACCAGCGGGTCATCTTTCAGATGTCTCTCAATTACACACTTAACTAAAGTTGCAGATCCTTTGGGCCCATTCTTCACATGCAAGACTGGAACTGTAGCAGGCGGGAACTTTGTACTCACTGCTGCTCATAAGGTAGCAGCTCATAGCACTTTTAAAATTGTTGGAACTAAAATGGAGGCTCTTGCCTAGTGCCAAGTAAGACCAGAAAGTTGGTGCTTACTGTAAATATTACGTTCTCTGTAGATTGATCATGTTATTGCCAGTGCCAAAATGTATATCAGTTTTTTTCTAAATTAGTGACTTGCTTTCTCTTATTGCCAAAAAGTGAAGTTTAGTCATGTGACTGTGCTTCAATTGGGAGTTCTAAATATACAAACCCAGTGTGGTATTATAGCTATCTAAACAGACATGAAACTGGTTTCTACGCTGCTCTTGACACATTGGTGGGTTTTTTCCCTACAGTCACATAGAGAAAAAAGTTTAAAGATATAGAAGGCGGTACAATATATACTTTTCTGCTTATGTGTTCTTGTAGGGAAGTGCTGGTGAAATTTAGAAATGAGAAGTATATGTTAAAATGCATGTTCTTTTCCTTATTGGAAGTAATTTTTATGCAGAAAAATCAAAATTGCCAGGCTTTTGGCAGCTGAAATTGAATTTATAAAGGAACTAGTCTGAATCACAAAATGTTTTATAAATCAGTGTCAGGAAAGATTTTTCTTTAGCAAAGCGTGGAAGCTTATAATTTCTAGGACACTATTCTAAAGTATACTTTACCCAATCTATTTTTTCTCCGTTAAATAAGAAGAGTTTCAAATGACAATGAATAATGATGATATCAAAAGTTTAAAATGCCATGGTTCTTTTTTCCTAGTGTTTAATTTTTTGTAACAATCTAAAGAGCTCTTGCTTAAATAACTGAGCACCCTGTACTAAACATTTTATTGGTATACATCTCTTTCCCCAGGTATATTGGAATAGTAGATTCTGTAAAATTTGTGGCTATTATTTACCTCTAAAATGCATAGTCTAAATTGCCCTCCATGTTTATCTTGTTTATCTGTAGAATTAGTTTTAGAAGCAGTACTGGCAGAGCTAAGACATTGATGTTGTGCCTATAGTTAAGCATATATGGTTTAAAAGTAAAGAAATTAGTTAATATGCATATTGTCTGGCATCTTGGTCATAGGAATCTTTTTGTTAATATTAGTTTTTCTATAAACAAAATCCAAGCAGATGTGGTAAAAGAATATTAAGCCTTAAGTAAAAGACATTGACAATTCATTACAAATGTCAAATTGTCTTTGTTAATCTGTATCCGAAGTAGAAAAATGGTAATAATTTTTCCAGAGGGTAATTGAGGTGCTTTGTTTTCTATGGCTAAGTTTGCAATTTTGTTCATGGATCTGTTTTATTCTCTCTCTGTACAGAATTAGAGTATATACATTTATTTTTATACTGCACTTTATAAAATGAACAGTCTGTCTGCATGAGTGGATATTAAATCTTATTAATATTAAAATATTAATATATAAACATGCTGTTTCAATGAATGTTTTAATATCATTGAAGCGACTGTCCAGATCCATTAAAGCCTAACTAGTGTAACTCTGCAGGATGGTGAAGGAAAATGCATAAAACTGAATTAGATCTAAATGAAAAATGCAATTTGTGAAGATGAATTTGTTTTTCAAGCTGCTTCTTGCTTTCCTGCATGTTGAAGTTCTCAGAATGATGGGCATTAGCATAGGGGACAACAACTAAAGCAGGGAATCAGTTGAGCACAGTTGTCTCTCTGTGCAATGTACAGACTATGTAGAGTAAAAGTAAACAGGTACTTTTAGTGCTTGTGCCAACTAAACTTTTATACTAGAATATGAACATATGACTCAAGAGCCCCATGTGGAGGTTCTTTGCCTAACACCACAAGTAAGTTGTATGATGACTTACCTTTAGACATAAACCAACTTCACTGCTTGGGCTAGATGATAATCATATGCAGAACTGCTGAAACAACCAGGCACCAAAAATGACACTAAAAATTTAGTTTTAATCCAACATATTTATAGTGCAAATAATGTCAAACTCAGTGGAATGATATATTAACAAGCATTGCTTGTTAGTTTGCTTGTTTCAAAAAGCATGACTTGAATGTGTTTAAAGTAAAAGTTTAGCAGTATGCTAGATTCTTACAAAATTTGTTTTCTACAATGATCCCAAAAATTGCCATTTATAGGCTTGGTATATTACATTAGTATGCTGTTCTGTTAAGAAAAACACTTTATCCATTATTCAAAGCTCCATCAGATACATTTTTTTCCTGAAATGGAATGTAAAGCAATGTAGCAATGGTACTCACTTCCATACAGTGAAATATCCAAACAACTTTAGAATATATTACTTTCCGTTCACACTTCCAGTAGCGATAATGTTTACACAAGCTTTTTACGAAATCCTTCAACAGCACAGCTGTAGTAGATAACAGGAATGCTAACTTTGAATTTAACACATTAATATGTACAGCGCTTAGATTCTGCATTAAGCATTACACAAGTTAGACTTCTATTTGTCTGCCTGTTGTAGGAATGATGCCTGGAGTCTTAGGTCCACGAAGCAATACATAACTTTTGGCTTTCAGCAGAGCAGAACGTCATATCTCCATGCTTTCACAGAAGTTACCATTTAATTGAAGTCTCGATTGGTAAGGATCAGGGGTGCCACCAAAGTCCAGACATAAATAAGAAGACAAACCCAGCTTGAGGAGATCTTCACCCAGACAACTGGCCATTTGCTTTTCAGTGTTTTCGTTTCAGCATCAGGACTATAAAATTAATAAAAATGGTACATGCTTCAATCAACTGGTAGAAAGTGTTCAACTAATTCAACTCGAATTACACAGCCTTTTGGTGTATGCTTGCTAGATATTTGGGGTTAATACAGAAGTATTATTCAGAAATTATATTTACATCTTTCCCAGCATATACAGAAGAAAATCCTTTAAGACGCTTGTCACAAGATGAATCCTAACTTTAGTTTTGTACAAAAATTAAAATCAACATTAAATTTCTAATTGTTTTAAAAAGGTTCTTAATATATAAACAATCCCATATTGAGTTAGCAATCTACAGCGGTAAGGTTTTTTTGGTTAAAATTGCTGTCAAGAATATACTCACCTGTACCAATTTGTAAGAGTCATCATTATGTAGAGGGAAGCGAGAGTTAACAAGAAGTGGAAGACGCTATAGCTGTACTGGACACCATCCTTTTCATTGTCCAAAACCCGGCGGACTTCTCCATCTTCTCCATCAGCTGTATTTGGTGTATCATCCAGAATGACACTGTCACTGACAGATAGCGTCAACTTGTTCACTTGGCTGTTGTTAGAAGACCGGATGCTGCAAAACAAGGAAGGAGGCTTCAGAAATCTAGCTTATAAAAAAAAGGACACTTTTAACCAAATTACAGCTGTTCAGCATTATTCAAATTCTATGAAAATTCCTTCAGCTACTGTTGGTTCTGCAAACACAGTACATAGTTAAAGGAAATAATTATATGGCCCTTCTCAAAAAACCATCATTCCAACTCAGCAATCGCTCAACCTGTCTCTAACCTACATGAGGAAAGTGGTTGAGAAAATAGTGGGTCTGAATCAAAGTTCTGCAGATTATCTGGACTTTTTCAGTCTGGGTTTAGGTCAATGTTCCCTCTAATTTTTTTTCAGTGTGAGCAGAAAAGTATAGTTTTTGAGCGGCATATTTTCATGCCTGAGCACCTGAACTTTTTTCACAGATGTCACCTAAGACAACAATGAAATCAGTGTTATTTGAAACTCTTAAGTTATGTTTATTCAAGGTACCCGCTTAATTAAAAGT